GCTATAGGCTACCTGGTCATAAAGCTGTTGGTTATGTTTAACGTGACGATTACGTGCTGCGCGAATAGAGTATACGATTATTATACATATACGTAGGCTAATAATAATTGTGCCCCCCCATGCATTTCACATGCCCCCCTTAAGACTGAGGTCTGGCGACGGGTCTGATTAATTCTATATTTACAATAAACTTCCAGGTGTCAGCTTTCAAATGAGATCTTACTTGTGCTTTTAGTACAAAGGGTTCATGAACTGTATCTGTTTCAGTTTGGGTATGCTATATCTGGGGATTTTTCAAAAATGGGGTTGCAGCTTAACAGGTTAAAACTAGATTTTTTAGTGGTTTTGAAAATATTACTATAAATTACAGCAACGCCTCCCCCTTTGCCTTTCAGACGAGATTCATGTTTATAACTGTAATCTTGTGGGGTTGACTCATTTAAAATAATGTAATTGTTTGGTTTAAGCCAGGTTTCCATCAAACACAGCATATCAAGATTATAATCTGAAATCATATCATTAACTATGAGAGATTTTGAATTAAGGGATCGAATATTCAGCAACCCAAGCTTTATCATTTGCTCATCTGTATTATATTTGTTTTTTTATTTGTTAAACATCAATTAAATTTTTAACCTGACGTTTTTTGGATTTCCAAATTCGGGGAACAGACACAGTCTCTATATGATGATATCTAGGTGAAAGAGGCTCTATGTGATGGGATTTATCTGACCTTGGTGACGTGAGGCCGCTAGCTTACAGTCGGTTTAGCCAGTCTGTCTGCTTCCTGACCTGAGCCCGAGATTGTCATGTTTTATCTCTAAAGGCCTGTTCACACCAGGACGAATTTCGCGTGCGATATTCGCCGACGTTTAACGCCTCGTGACTAAACAAAGGGCGCCAATGTGAGTGTGCACACCGACACGAAAAACGCCACGCGTAAAAGCGTCATTTAAAAAAAAAAACGCCTCGGGTTCGTTTTTTTAGTTTGGCGCACCGCGTCAAAAACTATCCGACCAATGAGATTGGCGCTTTTGCTCACGTGTCTGGAGCTTCTGAAGTTAGAGTAAAACACAACTTGGGGGCGCTCAAACACAAAACAGTCTTGCCGAGCACACATACGTAATGGCGATGAAGATATACGCCAAGTAGTGTCTACACTGCCGAGGAGAAGTAAGACGAGGAAGATGCAAGGCAAGATGAATGTAGAGCTGCTGGTCTCGTTGGTGTCGGAACATAAAGAACTATATGACAAACGCCACAAAAATCTTGATAAAAGAGAATGTTATGGAGTGGTATTGCAGAGCAAATGGGCGCCATCTAATGTCAGGGAATGAATTTGCATGTTCACTCGGCTCATCGTCAGCGAAAATCGCTTGGGTGTGAACACAAAAAACGCGTATAAAAACGCTGCCGAATAACGCGCGCCGATATTCGTCCCGGTGTGTACGAGCCTGAAGACTATGAGCCAAATTACTAGAGAGAAGAGCAGCACCAGCCCAGGAGGGATGAATACCATCTCTTTTCAACAGGTCAGGTTTGCCCCAAAAACTTTTCCAATTGTCTATGAATTCTATATTATTCTGCGGACACCACTCAGACAGCCAACCATTGAGTGAGGCCAATCTACTAACTATCTCATCACTCCTGCGAACAGGAAGGGGGCCAGAGCAAATTACAGTGCCTGACATACTTGCGAGTTCACACACCTCTTTAATATTAATTTTGGTGATCTCCGACTGGCGGAGTCGAACATCATTAGTGCCGACATGAATAATGATCTTAGAGAATTTACGATTAGCATTAGCCAGCACTTTTAAATTTGCTTTGATGTCAGGCGCTCTGGCTCCCGGCAAACATGTGACTATGGTGGCTGGTGTCTCTATTTTCACGTTCCGTGTGATCGAATCACCAATTACCAGGGCACAATCAACAGAATTCTCAGTGGGTGTTTCACTGAGTGGGGCAAATCGATTTGTTATGGGAATCGGAACAGAAGAGTGGTTCTTTGATCCGCGACTAGAGCGGTGATCTCTGACAGTCACCCATCTGCCCTGCTGCACGGGCTCTACTTCAGCCGGAACCGAATCATGTAAAGAGTTCACTATGCTAGGCACATCCAAAACACTATCTAAAGATCTAGCATTCTTACCATCCTCAATTAAAGTTTGGATGCGTGTCTCTAGTTCTGAAATCTTCTCCGTCAGCCTGACTGTCTCCTTGCATTTATCACATATAAATCCTATATTGCCATCGGAGAAGGCTATACTAAACATATGACACGTGACACAGGTGACAATAACAGGACAAGACATTACTCACCGTGTTTGTTGACTGATTCTTACTTACCTGGGCTTTTATGAACTCAAAGGCGCGGCGCGCGAGAGAAAATAAATAAATAAATGAGCGCACAGGTGGCGCGTTAACAGGCTAGCGAGTTACTAGCGTGTTGTGCTAACAATAACGGAAGCTAGCGATGTAAGGTTAATCTGAGATGGTGGGCAAAATGTATTTAGTAATATAGAAACCCCACTGTTTTCTATCTCTGAGAGAAGAACTGCAAATATTTAATTTCTTCCCCTTTTCCACAGTGCACCATCATCTGCGTACAGTGACCTCCCTATTCCTGTGTCAATTTGTGTATAAATATCATTAATGTTAAAAAGTATAGGACTACAAGCGCTACCTTGGGGAGTTCCATCTTCTATAGAATATATTTGGGGTGGTGATGGCGCAGTGGATAAAACACATGCCTTTGGTGTGAGAGACCCGGGTTCGAATCCACTGCGAGACACCAATGTGTCCCTGAGCAAGACACTTAACCCCTAGTTGCTCCAGAGGCGTGCGACCTCTGACATATATAGCAATTGTAAGTCGCTTTGGATAAAAGCGTCAGCTAAATGAATAAATGTAAATGTAAATGTAAATATATTTGTGAATATGTTGTCCCAATCCTAACTTGTATTGTCCTATTCAATAAGAACTCCTTGACCCGCCCAGAGCCACGGTCGAGCCAGATGAAGATAAAGATGTGTTCTGGTGACTGGCGTGTTTATTTAACCAATCAGATCAGAGTAAAGCTCATCTGATTGGCTGCATGATGAAGGACACGCCTCCTCTTCACTTGCAGAACTCAGTGAGTGAATCTTGCCAAACCTTGAAGCACAAGGAAAAGAAAGACACAATAAACAACTAGAAATGAAAGTAAATGATGGTTCAAAACAGAAAGAAGCTAATACGAGGCTTACAGCCTCGAAGCAAACAGACTTACGCAGGCAGGAAGGCAGACAGGAGAAATCGATCAGGAAGGCAGACAGGAGCAATCGATCTGTAAGAGGTTTTGCTGTTCACTTGATTCATTACAAAAATCATACCAACTAAACAAATAGGCCTACCTTTACTTCTTTACATTTGTTTCACTTTTTGTATATTCGAATGTATTACATTTATTTTTAAAGTGCATTTGTTTTCATTGTTGGACTGGTAGTGGTTACATGAAATAAAATGGCAGCATGCCAGAGAGTCCGAAGTAATATCATCACATTCCCAGTGGGTCAGTGTTAAAAGAGTATTCTGGTTAAGCATCTTTTCAGGCTTAGCCTGACAGTTAGCCTGCCCCGGACCAGGCTAGTTTCCCAGCATAAGTTTCCAGGGTAACTGAGTTTGAAGTATTTTAAGTTTGCTTAATGAAACAGAATTCACCGACAATAAGTCTGACTAACCAAAATAAGCCTGGCTTATTTTCTAATCTTGTTTTACGGAACAACCCTCAGGAGACGTTGGGATATCGTTCAAGCAGAAGTTACTCTTTATTGAGAACACAAGCTGTTGGTGGCTGCAGTCATCAAGTCTGACTTGGGCAGTGTACATTGTAGAGTTAATACCTTTCAACTGGGGAGGGATTACATGGAGATGGAGACACTCTGAACAAAGCATGTAAATGAAGTACAGGAGTCCCATCCCTGATCTCATCAGCATAACAGTGTCATTCAGATGCATACATGCTAATCCAATCAGCCTGACTATTCAAAGACTGGGCCAGGGGCTCCAAGAGCCATTACAGACAAAGGGTGAGAGTTTCAGTAATCTTACTCATTTAACTTACAATAGAGAGAACAGGGCTGGCGGGAATCTCTTGATATCATCATCATAACCTTAAATGCTAAATTCAATTTACTCTACCGTAGTTATTTTTCATGTTATGTTAGGACATGAGATCAGCAGATCTTAAACAGATTCTTAAATTTGTAATCCCACAGTTACACAGAAGATACTTTGTTGCTCAGCACATGAAAATAAACTACTTACTGTGATATCAGATTGTGTTTAAGTGGTTTCTCCACTGTATCAGGGTTTCTGCAGGGATCTTCAAATGAAATTGAATGCCTCTTTAATGACATTGTTTAAATTTGTAATGCCATACACGACCCATGACTAACCACGGATATTATTTATATATATATATTTCCTGGAACAACTCAGAAAAAGTACTCCATGTGACATCAGTGGGTTAGAATTTTTTGAAGCATCGAAAATAAATTTTGGTCCAAAAATAACAAAAATTCTGGACTACATGGACTACTTTGATGATGTCTTTATTAGCTTTCTGGACAAGGACAGTATACCATACATACATTTTCAATGGAGGGACAGAAAGCTCTCGTACTAAATCTAAAATATCTTAAACTGTGTTCCGAAGATGATCGGAGGTCGTACGGGCTTGGGACGACATGAGGGTGAGTCATTAATGACATCATTTTCATTTTTGGGTGAACTATCCCTTTAAGGTCAAAATGAGTACCCGCAACGCAAAATGCGTAAGGTTGGCAGGTCTGAGTGTTCAGACACCGAGCACCTCCGCCTGCAAAGTCACATTCGAGCCAAATGCTGTAAATTGATATCAAATTCTCTTCAAAACTTTCAAAATGTTTAATGCCTGTAGGGATCAAATTTAATGCTTTTTAATGCCATTTAAGGCCCTTTATTTTTGCAAAATCCATTTAAGGACTTTTAATGCTTTTTACTGCCCCGCGGAAACCCTGTGTATGGATCTTCATGTGTAGCTTCAGGTGAGTTTTTAAAGAGAAACTCGTCCCGCACTGATCACACGTGTGCGGCTTCTCTCCAGTGTGGATCCTCTCATGTGTTTTCAGATCTGCCGACACACTGAATCTCTTGTCGCAGTGTGAACACTTGTAAGGTTTTTCTCCAGTGTGAATTCTCTGGTGCTGTTTTAAAATGTTTGCTGAAGTAAAAGTCTTCTCACACTCAAAGCACATGTACTCTCTCACACCAGTGTGAGTTCTCTCATGTGCATGTAAATGTTGCCGCTGTGAAAAGCTCTTTCCACACACAGAACATGAATGCGGCTTCTCCTTCATATGAACTCTCAGGTGTGTCTTCAGCTCTGATGACCTAAGAAATGTTTTGCCGCACTGATCACATGTGAACGGCTTCTCTCCGGTGTGGATCCTCATGTGAACATTAAGGGATGATGATTGACTGAAACTCTTTCCACACTGATCACATGAGAACGGCTTCTCTTCGATGTGGATCCTCATGTGAATCTCAAGATGTTGTTTGCGTGTGAAACTTTTTCCACACTGATCACATGAGAACGGCTTCTCTTCGGTGTGGATCCTCGTGTGAATCTCAAGATGTTGTTTGCGTGTGAAACTGTTTCCACACTGATCACATGAGAACGGCTTCTCTCCGGTGTGGATCCTCATGTGAGCATTAAGGGATGATGATTGACTGAAACTCTTTCCACACTGATCACATGAGAACGGCTTCTCTCCGGTGTGGATCCTCATGTGAATCCCAAGATGTTGTTTGCGTGTGAAACTGTTTCCACACTGATCACATGAGAACGGCTTCTCTCCGGTGTGGATCCTCATGTGAACATTAAGGTATGCTGATTGACTGAAGCTCTTCCCACACTGATCACATGAGAACGGCTTCTCTCCGGTGTGGATCCTCATGTGAATCCCAAGATGTTGTTTGCGTGTGAAACTCTTCCCACACTGAGTGCAGGTGAAAGATTTCTTGGCTCTTGTTTTCTTTAAAAATGTCTTTTTAGTCTTTGAGCGACTCAAAGGTTTTTCTCCAGGTTGGACATGATGTTCCTCCTCCACTTCACTCAGTTCTTCTCTCTCCTCCTCCACTTCACTCAGTTCTTCTCTCTCCTCCTTCACTTCACTCAGTTCTTCTCTCTCCTCCTTCAATTCACTCAGTTCTTCTCTCTCCTCCTTCACTTCACTTAGTTCTTCTCTCTCCATCACTTCACTCAGTTCTTCTCTCTCCTCCTTCACTTCACTCAGTTCTTCTCTCTCCTCCTTCACTTCACTCAGTTCCTCACTCGCCTCGCTCTCTTCCATCAGGTCTGACATGAAAGAAATAAATATTACATTTAATTTTCAGAACATTAAAATAATTCAAAGAGAGAAATATAAAGTGAAAGGACATGAAAGTGAGCCCTGATGTAATGGTAGGAAGTAGACAACTGTTATAAAATATTATGATAATTTGATGCCTTTTTATAAATTGATTATATGTCCTTGAAACATTCCATGAATGAGGTAAATTTATCTTCCTATTATTATTTTTAAAACATTATAGGCACAAATCCCATGTTTCTTTAGCAAGAACTATTATGTATGCCATACGGAACCGTTGTCCACTGAAACTGCATATTAACGCACCAGTGGGGCTCGACAGCCTTAGTCAAACGGGTTGGCGCGTATGGTTGGGTTGCGGAGAGATTGTGAGATTGTGGTTAGGTCTCAGCAGCAGGAGGGATGTAGAGGTCAGTAAGCTGGGCTGAGTTGAGTGGGGGACGGAGGGGGGTGACTCTGGGACGCCAGAGTCACTGTCGAGCCCTCTTGAGGTGTTGTGGGCTAGTCGACGAAACACTGAGGACGGAAGGTGCCCACTTGAAGACCCTAGAGATGTCCCCTACTCGGCTCAATCCAGACGGTTGTCGTGCTGGTCCACTGGGGATACCACATTGTAGTTGCAGCCGTTGTGTGTACTGACGTGCCAAGTACACAGCAGCCGTTAACGCCGGACAGAAGGAGATTCACATCACCATTTGGAAAGAAGCGTAAATGGATGGAGAAAGAGAAGCATAGGTTACTGTAAAGCTACGTCTTAGTTTGTCCTTAGCTTGGCGAAAGCCGAGTACAAATCAGCATGAGGTTTAACATCTACTCTCGTGTAATGGAAATCATGAAGATCTGGATACGTCCAGTGACTGTGGTGAATAGTGCTGCTGGCAACAAGGGAAAGACCTTGTGACAGCCTGGAGAGACAGCTGACAGGAGGAAAGAGACCCCAATGGGGCTGGTAAGGGTTAGCTACCCTTGTCGGCAGTATCCAGCTCCGTGTTTACAGGATGCTGGAGACACCCGCCCAAGGCTTCTGAGAAATTAAAGAGAAAAATACCCCTAGAGTCTGCGAGAGCAGGGGCGGAAGATGACTCAATGTTGGACAACATGGTTAACGACTTAGGAATGGAAACAGATATGAGTATGGAGAGTAAGTTCAAGATCTGCAGTTAGTAAAGTCATTGAACTCCAAGCTTGTGTCTGTGGCTGGAGCAAGGCGACAACGGTCAGGGGTTTGAAGATTCATCAAGGAAAATGAAATGTTTGAGGGAAAAGGGACAAGGGCCTCTCATTGATCAGTACTTCTTACAAAGTCAGTCAAGTCAGTCGAATGAAATCCAGCGACAGGAAGCAAACCACAGCTCGCAGGATATCAGCACTCCTGTCATAGAGGAGAGGAGGGCTTGCACAGTTAGTGATGAACAAATTCATACTTGTGAACCCGGTCAGACTAAACAGCATAAGAGAGAAAAGAACCTCAATGGGCATAGGCCTGGAGTTAGATGGACAAGAGCTTGTGAGAAAACTGCATGGGACACAGTAAACACAGATCTATGCTTCGCATTGGAAAGATTAACTGGTACAGTTAAAAAGAAGCTGGATAAATTTGGGGACATCATTTACGAATATGGAAGTGAGAGGTTTGGTGTGGAAAAAAGGAAGGAAAAAGTACAAACTACTCCTGGAATGTCTAGACGGCAGCAGAAAATTGAAGGCTTAGTTAGAGAAAGGAGACAGCTGAGGAAGCAATGGAAAAGAGCAGAACAAAGTCAGAAGGAGGGACTCTCAATCTCTTACAAAGGGCAATAAAAGATAAGCTGGCAACATTACGCAGAGCTGAACGCCTACGGAAACGCTACAAAAAGAAGGAGGTGCGAGGGCTAATTTCTATAAAGACCCATTCAAATTCGTAAAGAAGTTATTCACCAGTGAGAAGAATGGCATCTTAAAAGCATCTAGGGTTGAGCTAGAGAGATATTTGGAGGAAACGCATACAGATGCAAAAAGGCATGAGCCTATGTCAATTCCATCAGACATCCCACCTATCAACCCACCAGAATACCAAATGGAGGTCTGTGCACCTAAGTGGAAAGAGGTAGAGCAGGCTGTGAGAAAGGCAAGGGCTTCATCATCTCCAGGGCCTAATGGAGTTCCGTACAGAGTGTACAAGAGTGCTTCAGGAGTTCTACGAATTGTGGAAATTGATAAAAGTGGCATGGGGAACAACAGGTTGTACCTAGAGCATGGCGCAGGATACCTAAAGTCTATGAGTCTTTATACCTAAAGAAAAAGATGCTACAAGCATCAGTCAGTTTCGTCCAATTTTGCTATTAAACGTTGAAGGTAAGATTTTCTTCAGCATTATTGCCCAGAGATTGTCCACCTACCTATTAAAGAATGGCTTCATTGACACTTCAGTTCAAAAAGCGGGCATTCCAGGGTTCTCAGGATGCTTAGAACACATCAATGTTATCTGGCAACGAATTCAATCAGCTAAAAAGGAGAGGAAGGAGCTCCATGTGACATTCCTGGATTTGGCTAATGCATATGGTTCAGTGCCGCATGAGCTTCTTTGGGCAGCATTTGATTTTTTCTCTCTTATGCAGTACCAATGTCAATAACAAATTTAGTGAAAGCCTATTTTGGAGATTTGCAATTTAGTTTCTCAACTCCAGAATTCAGCACTACATGGCAATGCCTAGAGGTTGGAATAATGGCAGGATGCACCATTTCTCCACTGGCTTTTACCATGGCAATGGAAGTAATCATGAGGGCATCAAGATGGGTAGTAGGAGGAGAGCGCTTGGCTTCTGGGATGCAACTACCACCAATCAGAGCATACATGGATGACATGACAACCATGACTACAACAGTAGCCTGCACTAATCGGTTATTGGGGAAGTTAACAGATAATCTTGAATGGGCACGAATGCAATTTAAGCCCTCTAAATCTAGGAGCATCTCGATAGTTAAAGGAAAGGTAGTAGATAGAACATTCTTCATTAATGGTGAGGCAATACCAACAGTTTCTGAGAAGCTAGTGAAGAGTCTTGGGAGATGGTACGATGGGGATCTAAAGGACACAGTTCAGGTGGGAGAAGTTAGACGACAAGCAGTGGAAGGGTTGAAGAGCATAAACAGCTGCGCTCTACCAGGCAAACTAAAACTCTGGTGCTTTCAGTTTGGTCTACTGCCGAGGTTGCTGTGGCCACTGACTGTGTACGCCGTTTCTTTGCAACAGTGGATAAGCTGGAAGCGGTGATAAGTTCATACATCAGGAAATGGTTGGGAGTTCCACGCTGCCTCAGCAGAGTGGGACTTTATAGTAAAGGAATATTGCAGCTGCCAGTCTCTGCTTTAACCGAGCAGTTTAAGTGCACCAAGGTCAGACTGGAAATGACCTTAGTAGAGTCACGCGACAAATGTGTAAGGGACGCAGCCCCTGTGTTAAAAACTGGTAGAAAGTGGTCCGCAAAGAAATCGGTGGTAGAGGCAAAGGCTGCCCTTCAAATTGGGGATATCGTGGGACAGGTACAGCATGGAAGAGGGGGTTTTGGGCTCTGTTTAGCTCCTCCTAAATGGCACAAGGCAGGCCCAGCTCAAAGGAGGAAGCTGGTAGTCAACGAGGTGCGAAAGCAGGAGGAGAGGATGAGGTGTATAAAGGCCATTTCCCAGGCCAAGCAGGGAGAGTGGATGAGATGGGAAAGTGTGGAACAACGCAAGATGGGCTGGCAAGACCTTTGGTCAATGGAAGAGAGTAGGATCAGTTTCCTTATCAGGTCAACATTTGATGTTCTCCCATCACCGCAGAACCTAAACCTCTGGGTAGGAGAGGATCCCTCTTGTCCTTTGTGTTCATCACCTGCCACATTAACCCTCTGGGGACCAAGAACGCACCGGTGCGTTTTGGCAGATTTTTTTCACATAGCAGAAAAATAGACTTAAACTACTCCATCATTTCTGGTCATACAGAGTTATGAAACATATTAAAAAAAGTGTTACATGTCTACTTTTTTATGTGCCCACCTACAATCGAAATAAAATATTGTTCTTCTGTAAAATAAAGAAAATAAACAGGGTGTGCGTTCTGCCTCTCCGTGTCCGTGAACTTTTTTTCTGGAGCACGTCTCTTAAACTTAAACAAAACTCAGCTAATACTATTCACCCAGACATGAGCAATATATGTTTATGATCATTTAAGTTTGTACTTTTAAATTATCTAATTTAAAACTAGGGATGGGAATTTTTCAAAAAATATTGCGTTCGAATATTCGGGCTCATAAAAATCGAATATTCGAATATTCGTTTATTTAAATGACGTTTAACGAAAAAGACATTATTTTTTAAGTTAAATTTTTTTTCAAGTTTTTGTCGCCATTTCTGAACAAGCTTACAATTAGGCAATATACACAACAAGCTTACAATATATGTTAAAGTTTTCTTTTAGTTGAAAACATTAAACAGTAGGCCTATGTGTAAACAAAAAATATAAAAAACAAAAGCATTAATAAAAGCATGCTTAAGCAGCGCGAACGGGAAAAAAACGCCTAATAAAGCAGATTGCGCCAGATATCATACAGAACGTACACACACACGAGTCAGCATATGATTATCGTGTTTATATTGTTTCACGTTTTTATTGAGAAAAACAATATCCACATGCAGGGGCGCCGCCAGCTATTTATGCTCGAGTGAGAAAAGGCGCTGCGCTGACAGACGCTTCAGACACAAAGATAACGGTGTTCTAAGTTTCTAACAGCACTTTGCGTTTTCTGTTCTTAAACCTGTCTCCCTCAACGAAACCTAAAGGAAGTATATGTCTCAAAATCATTTTGCTATAAGATAAGTTATCATTTCGGATCACGCGGGGTCCAGCTGCGCTTACCTGCAGTCGTGATGCAGTGATGGACAGCTATCTTTCCTCATTCGACTGTTTGGATTTCATGTGATTTCTCATTGTGTTGATGATATTATAACTCAGATTAATTAATTAATTCGATCAAAAGTAATTCAATTTAGTAAGATCATTTTCAAGTAATTCCAAACTTCGCGAGGCAGACGACAACATTATGTGATCAAATACACACAACTTGTTAACACACTCCACAGCGCCACCCAGTGCATTTAATTATAACTGCGAGTTAGTGCTTGGGATTTATCATGGATTCACTGCATTTACGGCCAGCAAAGCAATGTAGTAAAATTCGAATAGTATTTTATTTTTCGAATAATAATTACAGATCGAATATTCGAAAATTCGAATATTCGTGCACATCCCTATTTAAAACTAAAATAAGTATTCCCTGTTTATGTAATCTATATAAAAAGAGAGATGTGTCAGCCGTTCTCATTATCGTTCTTGCATCTCATTATTCCGCTAATGTGACACGCCCACGGAAGCGCGCGCTATTCAAACGCTAATGATTTGAAGCAACACATTTAGACGTGTAAACGCCCATATAAACTCTGTAAACACACTATATTTAGTCAGATTAATGTACTGTCGTTTTGCACAGCTGTGAGGAATAATCCTGGGACACTTACCTAGCAATACGCTCTCCATATTGCTTTACAAATATTTGTATTTAACTCATCTACATCCTCAGTTACACCCAAAATTCCCTCTAAATAATCTTCTTAAATTGCTCCCAATTTGCCTTATTAAATGCCCATCTTTGTATTCTCTCTACCTTTTCTTTTTGAATATCTATTCCTATTTTACAAAGTATTTAGCATTAGGGACCGTTCGGTATTTATGGAAAGGGCCACCGGAGGAAAATAGGGGAGGGTCATGTCTTTTTATTCTTTGTTGAGGGGAGGGTCATCCAACTTTTTGTAGTCTAGGGTAGGGGTGCACGATATTGACAAAAAGGTGATATTGCGATATCGATATTAATTTCGATATTTATAAATGTAAAACTACAAAGGTTATGGGAAAACGCATCAAAAAAGATTAATAAATAAAACAAGTTCTTACAACATAAGGTTTATTTCAACTGACAGTCATATTGGACAGGTACAACATGAATAAATAAATAATAACCATGTCTACAGAACAGGACATGTTTTACTGGTTGTATGTACACTACAGTGTAAAAAAAACAATAAATAAAGAGCAAGTCTACAGAACACACCTGGCCACTTTATGCGTTTTCTGTGATCGGATGGCTATCTGATCGTGAAAAGACCAGGTGTAAATGCCCTCCGAAACGCGTTCGAGGCGGGTTTGAATCCGATCACTGAAACCACTTCAGGAGGAGGTCTGAGCCGCATTCCTGACAAAACTGGACAAGTTTAAATGCATCTCGTTGTTGAAACCACATATGTAAAATGTACTCCTCCCAAAAACGCTAAAAATGAGAACGTGTTACAAGGCTACATGTCATGTTATGGCCAGATATGACGACGCGCGCAACTGCAACACGCATCACCGCAGATGAGCAGCTGAGC